TTGCCATGCCACACGCATCATGCAGGAGAAACTGAAACTGAAACCTTAGTTATGCTTGCTACTTTTGCGCCCTTGCTTGCCGAAGTTTAAAGCTGGGGAGTGGGGAGGTTCGCCCCGGGGAAACTGCCGCTTGGTTGGTTTAGGCAGGTGATTAGTTACAGGCTGTCTGGAGCTATTGGTAATCATGTTTGCCATTAGTTAGCACTAGCATTGGACAATTCCTTGCTGAGGGATGTGTGTTTCTAACATGCGAGGTGGGGATGGGTGTTTTTGTTTGTTTGTTGTTGAATCAGTTCATGGACTCAAGAGTGGAAAGTAACAATGATAAATGATTATTCATGATTAAGACTCAACTCGAGTGAAGACAATACACATAACAAAGGAAAATGTCATAACTTCGGTGGTATATACATCCATCCCATCCCACAGACCAGACAAATACAACCAAGGGTATAATTCTGTACAGTAGTCGTACACGCAAAAACAAAAAAACCTTTAAACCATACTATGCTCATGACACGAATCATCCCCGGCCGACGAGGTCTGCGTCACCTCGAAGGTGCGCTGGATCCCGCCGAAGCCGCCGCCGCCGCCGGGGCCCCCGGCGGAGCCCGGATGCGACCCCGTGTCGCGGTCGCGGTCACGGCGGCCTCGGCTATCCTTGCTGCTGGGCGATCGTTCGCCCGACAGCCCCGCTGTGAGCTGCTCCTCGCTGCTGTTCGACGAGGTCACGGGCCCCCGCTGGCTGTGGATGGTGGTCACCGTCACCGCCAGCTTGTCCGGGCGCAGGCGCCCCTGCACGGCGGCTTCGTCGAGCGACCCCAGCGGCATGGGACGTTCGTGAGATCGGGCATGGTGGTGGGGGTTGTTGCTGGCACCGCCGCCGATGCGACGCGATCCGGAGGGGCCGCCGAAGGGCGAGCGGTCGTAGTAGTTGGGGTCGGAGTGGGAGCCCAGCCAGTGGCGGACGAGGGGGCGGAGGGTCGCGAGACTACCGGCCGTGATTCCGAGGCCGGTTTCGATGTTGGACCAGAGAGCGATTTCGACGGTGGCATCTAGGCGACACAAAGAATTAGCTTGGTCGATTTGGTAAGCTGGGAAGAGCGGAGGAAACGTACAGAGAAAGTCCGGGTCATTAAAGGTGTGCACCCAGGGAATGCGGATGATCGTCGCGGATGAGGCACTAAACATCGTCAGTCAGTTAGTCGGCCAGGCCACTCTAACGGGAAAGAAACATACATGCAAGCCATGCCCAGAATGCCCACAACCGCCATCTTGGTCTGCTTCCGCATGTGCAGGTTCTTGACAATGAAAAACGGCAAGATGCCCACGGTGAAATCGCACAGCGCCGCAAACGCGCTGTACACGTAGGTCATGGCGATGATGATCTCCATATTAATGCAGACCCCATGAATGCTGTCGTCGAATGCCTTGCGCGTCCAGAAATAGGAGACGGGCTTGCACTGCAGCAGCATCAGGAACATGAAGACCAGGGCGGCGACGACGGTCAACACCATCACAATGCGCAGGATCCAGATATGCATGCGCTTCACGGTGATGCGCAGCAAGAAGATGCACACAGAGATCTTGCAGCCCATGGCGGAGAAACAGTATGCGATTTCGCAGAACCACCAGTACTATGGTGAGAGTTAGTAACCCCGTCCGCTTTTTTTGGATTTCCCCGGGCGAACTCGTACCTTCATGGCTGTCACCCGCTGGTGCGCATCCAGGACACTGAAATGTCGACCAGTGCCGTAGATGGCTCCTCCTATCATACATCCGGAGAACATGCAGTAAAATAACTTGGGATGATCAGCTTTCGCGTCCCACTCGTTCAAGATGATGATGCTAACTCACCATCGCAACCACCATCGCCCAATCATCGATCCCAAACGCTCGAACAATCCATCCGCGCACATAGCATCGCAGTATCACCGCAATGCAGGCCACGGACATAAAGACGGCCGCAACCGCCTTAACCTCCGGGCTGCGGTCATCTGCTGCCATGCTATCGTTGCAAGAAGCAAGGCATAATCCGGAGGACTAAGTAAAAAAAAAAAGAAAAAGAAGAGAGAGAGAGAGCAGGGAAACCGTCACTAAAGGTAGGGGCGAAGGGAACCGCAACCGGTATTTGAGTGAACGATGGGGAAAAAAGGGAACGGGAAGGGAGACGAAACGCAAGGGAAAACCTTCAAAGTGATTGTTGCACGTCCCCGTCCCACACTCACGGTCTAGAGGGCCCGAGGAAGTTGAACTCCAGGCACGCTAATCTAGTCGGTCGACGACCGTCTGGCCCTGGTCGGAGGTGATCATGACAGGCTAAACTGGTCTAGGGTTGTGTCTGCACATCGCCGCCCCTCTCTCTGTCTTCTCTCTCTCAATGCAGACCGAGATCGACGGTGCGCCGGTCCAAAGTCTAACTAACTAATCCACCTACTGAGTAAGTGCCTGGGCTGAAGGGGACCAAGGAAGACAGACTCCAGTAGAGCCCCCTCGCTTAGAGAGACTGTACTGAGTACGAGCAGCCATTTCAGGAATGAGATCATCACTAGGTAGGTGTCGCGGAGAGGGCTCCATTCTGCCGAGATTAAAACCAAGATAATTGTTCGTGCGGATTGAGTCGTGGCGAAGACGCAGAGAGTCAGAGCAATTCTTCACCCCCACTGAGCCGTTGTGGTCAGAGCGACGACACGATTAGTGTCTGATAGTGTTAAAGGTTATCCTGCTGCACCGGGGATAATTTCACGTCAATGGCCGGAAACGGGGCTGGGTCCACTCCGCCTCGGTTGTACCTCCGCTTTGGGTAGACTCCCCGACGGTCGAGTCAGTACTCAGGAGTAAGACGAGGAAGAATTGGTAAGAAAAGTGAGAAGCAAGAAGGCAAACCAAAAAACAAAAAAAGTTCAAGGAAAGAAAGTCAAGTCATGACGGCGCAAGCCATCCATGGCTCTGGGATCGATTATGGTTTAAAGGGTGTTAATGTTGTGCAGAATTGCCAGAACCCATGGATCAAAGCTCGCATTCGCCGCCATCCGCCATCCGCCCACACCCCAGCTGACCTTCCACAACCCTAGATCAGATCAATCAGCAACCCACGGATGCCAATCCTAAATTCCAATGTAATCAATCGCCATCGCCATCGCCATCGCCATCGCCATCGCCATCGCCATCGCCATCGCCATCGCCATCGCCATCGCCATCGCCATCGCCATCGCCATCGCCATCGCCATCGCCATGCCCATCCGTTCGAGCATGCCCACTCCCACGTGCGATTGTCCGCCTCTTCTTCGGGGATTGCCGCTCCAGTCATGTCCATGACGATGAGTATATGCGACGGGTGCTATAGACGAAACGCCCCTTCCCCTCATTCCTGCGGGTTTGGGCTGCCACGCGTGAGTGGGTCTCAAGGATCCGGGACTCCTCGGAGGCACAGGGAAACCAGGATCAAAGAAGCAAATGCGTTGGACCTGCAGACTTCTAGAAAGCCAATCCAGGGTGAGCTGTCAGACGCGACTGGGACCGACTGACCCATGACAATCCCAATTGTCCTAGAGCCTAGAGGCTTAGACTAGGAGACCGAAGGAAGGAAGGAAGGAAGGTCCTTCAGAGAATCAGGGGAATGTTTTCCTGGGCAAATGAATTGGCAATGGGCAATCTTAATGTTCCTCCCCTGCCAGAGCGGGCACGTCCCAACTGGGCGGTTCGCCTATTCCCAATTCAAGCAATGTACTCAGTACAACAACGCCAGTGCCCGGCCTAAAAAATGAACGGGGCAGATCCATTGAACTTGGCCCCCCTCTCCCCTTCCTTGTTAAATTTAGCACCAGAAAAAAAAGAAAGATGGATCATGGATGTCCTTTCCGAGTGCCGCGGTGACTATGGGAAACTAGAAAGATAGACAGCTGCCATCTCCATATCTGTCAAAAGTGTCAATCCCGACTGGACCAAACCCTCCCTCCCCATCCACGGGACTTTTTGACGTCTTATTACCGGTTGTCGATCCTGCCCACGCCAAACCCAACGCTAACCCACTCCAACCCACGCGGATCGGAAAACCAGACAATGGTGCGGTGCGGATGGTGTCTCCTTTTGCCGAACCTGACAGGACCAAACGTCCTGACTCGCCAGGGCGGGGAGAAACTCTCCGAACCGGGCCAATTGATGCAGCATGAGAGCCAATGTTGGCCCAATTATAAACCTGATCTACAGCGTGCAGCATCAGAAGGCCGCTCGCTGGGCCGCTGGCAGGGTTGGTTGGCATCGGCTGCCTTTTGCCGTGTTTTTCGAGTGAGTTTCGGCAGCTTCCGCTTCACGTGAACGGGCGCCCTTCCCGTGCAGTACAAACCCCAATCGACGAGATACGTTACTCGGTAGAAGAGTATGCACAGCACAAGATGGGCAGCAACGAAAATTCATTGGCGAAATTGAGACAAAGGACACAGATTGTACATCTGCATAAATGACTGAGCATCCAATGCGAAGGGGCAATCACAAGATACTCAAACGGAAAGTCTGTGGCTGACGCGCCAAGTCACTAAGTTAGCGGCTTTGGGTGCCCCGTTGCAACTTGCGTGGTGGTGGACCATACAAGCCCGGGATTGACTTGCCCAAGGATGAACCCTACCAACGCGACTCGAGGCTCGATCACCGGCCTCGGACAGCTGCTTGGTGCAGAGAGCAGGTGCTGCATGTTTGCTTTCTTGCCCTAACTCATTGATTTGCTGGTTCCCGACCGTCAGAACTGCAATCGCTCAATTCCACACAATGCGACCTTAGGATGGCTGCGCAACCGCCTGCGACCGCTGCTCGCAACTGACCACCCAACCCGACTGTGGCTGGGAGGGACAGTCTTGCCCTGCATTGTGCAACGTCTTGGAAACTCTGCTTGCTTTGTTTGAGAGAAATGTCCAGCATTTGCCCCGTGTCTGCGGAGTTAAGTCAGGCCGTGAGCCTGGACTACATAATGGGCGACATAGAGACATAGGTGGAAGCCAACCCCCATGGGTAGGTAGCCAGCATATGCGATACGATGGAGTTGAAATCTGCTCAGGTTCATCCAGGAGACGCAGATGCCCGGAACAGCGACCATGTCAATTCGTCCACCGAGGACGTTCGATCCACCGCTCAGCCGACGGTGTGGGCGACCATCAAACAATCCTATAAGATATTGAGCTACTGCCTTGCTCTGACTGCCGGCATCCTGCTTTACGGGTACGATATGGTCATTGTGAACAATGTGTCGTCCATGCCACAGTTCCAGTAAGAGGTTTCTTGAACCCCTCGGTCTACCTCTTCAATACTCACATTCGCAAGGCGTGACTATGGCCGGGAATTGAAGGGACAACTGATCATCCCCTCGGTCTGGCTGAGCCTCTGGAGCGTGGCCGGCCCGATCGGGGGCTTGTTCGGTGCGATCGCGAGCGGCTTCGTCCAAGACCGTATCGGTCGTCGCTTTTCGCTAGCCATTGCCAGCCTGCTTTCCGCCATAGCGGTCGCCGTCTTGTATGTCTCCAATTTCGCGACCGAGATCGACGACCGCAGGGCCATCTTCCTAGTGGGAAAATTAGTCCAAGGATTCGCCGTGTACATGGTCGTGAGCACGGCTGAGACCTATATGTCAGAAGTACTGCCTACCGTGTTACGAGGGCCGACTCTTGCTCTGTTTCCCATCTTCACACTCGTGGGCCAGTTGGTAGGCAGCGCGGTGGTCTGGAGCGCCCTCCACACTCTTGGAGCGAGGGGCTACCTCAACTGCTTCCTATCGCAATGGCCCTTCTCAGCTCTGTCCCTCTTAGTGTCCGTCATGATCCCCGAGAGCCCAACGCACCTCGTCCGCCAGAGCCGATTGGACGAAGCGCTCAAAGCACAGAAACGACTAGATTCCGCCGAGGTGGACTCCATGGCCAAGATCCAACAACTGCGCGCATCGGCCCAACTCGGGGAGCAAGAATCCGCGGGATACCGCGAGTGTTTCGTGGGGGTCAACCGGCGGCGCACAATCATCGTCCTCTTCGTGAACATGATCCCGAATATGATGGGACTCGTACTGTTGGCCAAAGCAAGCTATTTCCTGCAGATCATCGGCTTGGGAGCGAACACAAGCGTTATGATGCTGCAGGTCAGCATTGGGCTGGGGTTAGCAGCCAATGTCTTCAGCTTCTGGACGTTGTCCCGATTTGGCCGCGTATCGCTCATCATTGCAAGCTTGGGGATCATAGCACTATTGTGGCTGGGTATGGGCATTGCCGGCTGTTTTTATGGAGAAGTCACTGTCTGGTCAGTTGTCCTCCACTCCTCGAGTGTCAGGTTGAGGGGCCACGTCTGATAATGACCGCTAGGTACTCGGCTGTGACGTTCTGTTTGGTCGTCGTCTTCAACGGAGCTGGGGCATGGCCAGCGACCTACGCCGTGGGCGCGGAGACTTCCTCCCTACGGCTCCGCGCCAAGACGCAAGGACTAGGATGGCTCGTAAATTGCCTCGCAACTGGGGTTGCCGGTCTGGTGCTGCCCTATGCATTCAACCCGGACCAAGGCGCACTGGGCTCAAAGACAGGATTCATGTTCTCCGCCTCCAGTCTCGTGGCACTGCTGATAACATGGTTCCTGGTGCCGGAGATGAAAGACCGGACCCCAACTGAAATCGATCGTATGTTCGAAAACCACCTGCCGACGAAGGAGTTCAGAAAATGGTCACCCGAGATGGATGAGGTGACAGTCAGGTTGGGTGTCTGACTGACTGGCCGGGACTTCGGGTGGTCAGTCATTTCATATCGCGCAGTAGCGTCATGCTTCTCGCTCTGTGTTGACGACTTTGATCGTGCTGGTGATCTCTTGCAATGATGTGTTTAAACAACCTTATCAAAAGCGAATTCCTCCAATGAGACTCTTACTCGTTGAATCACAATTCTTCCTCGTCATTATCTAAGCAGACTGTCACTCCCAGCTACAGAACCTCAATAATGACTATTCATACCGAAATTGGTTAAAATCAACGAATGACTAGTAGTGTTGCGTGGATTGTCAATGTGAAACGACCGTCTGTTTGACCACTGAGAAAGTGTTTGTTAGTTTGGACTTGACAGACACTAGGTATGCATGATAATCAAAATATAGCTAGAATTCGTCGTCGTTCCTCAACTAAATACATGAATTATAGAAGAAATTCAACTAGCCTTGTGACTTGCACAGCAGCTGACTTCGGTTGGAGTATATCTTGCTGTCCGACGGTCTCGGCTAGAGTTTGGGAATATTTTTGGCGTCTGTGGGACGCTGAGCGCAGAATGGCCCGCTTTTGTCGATTCGCTTTTTCACAGTAGCTCACCTCCGTGCGAGCTGGGCTCCGTCGGTCATGGCCTGGCTACTTGGTGGGTTTTTCGATAGGATGGTGCTCCTAATTCTTTCATAGCGGCGGAATCGGTTCGAAGATGATTGTGAGCCACCCATACGACGGATCATGAGGCAGGCCTCCAAGGGTCTCTGTGGCGCTCATAGGGGTGGCACGGAACTTGAACATGACAGGAGACAAGTTCAATCAATCCTGAGCTGCTGCTGCAGCTTGGAGACCCTTCTTCTTGCCTTTCCTGTATACACGCTCATCGTTGGGGTCAAAGCCACCGTTGCCCCACAAGGCCCACTCGAGCGTTTCACTCATGTAATCCTCGGGTTTGAAGGGAGTGCCATCTGCCTTCTCCTTCTCCAAAAGCTCGAAGAACCGGTCATAATCGATCCGCGAGTGCCACTTTCCGTTCACGTAGAAGCGCTCGGATGCGATAAGTGCACAGCAGCTGTGAGCATGCTCCGCAGCGAGACCATACTTGAGACCGCGGCGCTCCAGCTCCTTGTTAAGGGAGGTGACAAACTCTTGGATTTCCTCGTAGAAAGGCACGTTCTGCATAGTCAGTCCGGCTCCCGCACTGGTGCTAGTACCACAGTAAGTGACGCCCTTGATCTCGATGAAGCAAGGCAGTGCCTTCTCAACCAGGTTCGCGTATCCAATGACCTCGTCATCCACGTTGAATCCCTTCACAAGCGTAAGACGGAAGACAGTGCGCTGCATGTGACGCTTCTCGCGAAGAATGTCCAGACAACGCTGGAAACGCTCCCAGAAGTCACGGTGCAGAGGGCGGTCGATCTTTCTCAGACTTTCCCGGTTGCTCGCGTCGATGGAAACGTACAACTGAGTTACTCGGTTGAGGGTCTCGAGCTGATCGGGATGTTGAGCATTGCAGACAAGGAAGCTGGAGATGCGCTCGCTGTGCAGCATGTCCAAGAACTGGTTGATGTGAGGATAGAAAATCGGTTCACCGACCAAGCTAAGAGCGCAGTGGCGGATGCGCATAGCCTCCGCGAATCGTTCAGCACGCACACCGGGAACACCACGCATCATCTTGATCTTTTTGTAATGACCCTCCTTGATACCATTGAAGATCAGGTCGGGGGAATCCACCTTCCATCGCCAAGTTGTGCCAACCGGGTTAGTGCCATGTCTCCAGCAGAAGATACATTTGTTGCTGCAGGAAAGGGACGGAGTAGCTTCCATGCAAAGGTGCGAGCGAATACCATAGAACGAGAATTTGTAACAGGAGCCACGGCCACGCAAGGCCGACTTAGTCCAGCGACAGATCTTGACACCCGAGTGAGAACCAACAATGGTGTAGCCCTGTTTGGTAAGAGCTGCATAGGTGGGCGATGTCTTCGGGACCATTTCCTTCTCAGTGGGTTGAATAGCGGACGCAGGCGAAGCGCCCGCGGTAGTAAAGTCAACGGGAACGGGGGCTCCCGATCCGCTCTGGCCATCAGCGCTGAACTTGATGTCTTCCAGGTCAACCACATCTTGAGCCTTGTTACGTTTCCGATTCTTCTTAGAACTGTCATCAGAGCCTTCTTCATCCAGATCCTCCTCGTCACTTTCGAGAGGGTCACCGCTGCCAGGAACACCTTCACCCAATCCACCATGTTCCAGGATGTCACCCAGAATATCTTGAAGACCATGAGACCATTCTTTCAAAGCAGCTTCCGCATCACCCTTGACATCACCAAATCCGAGGGGATACGCCCGCTTCCGACCCGTAAGCTTTGCCATCCACCGATCGAGTTCCTTGGCTTGGGAGCAGTATCCCTCCTCCTCGGTCGGCCATCCCTCCTTGTCACCGAAACCAAAGACAGCGTAGCCAGCCAGGGACGAGAGCGGCGCAGTATCGATGCGGAAGTCATTGTGGGTTTCGTCAAGATGGCCAAGGAAAGTGTTCAGAATAGTATCAATGTTGTACGAGGGGATCAGCAAGCAGTAAACGTAGCGCGTTCCGGGCGAGTTGGACGGAGGCTTGGGAGCAGCGGCGAAGTAGTCATCGAAATCGACATAGGAGAGGTCATGAATCTGAGGAGGAAGGATGGCCCGCTCACGGTTCTCCGGGTCGGCTCGTTCTTGGGCGGCGGCGCGCAGGTCTTCAAGCAAAACCTGCGCATATTTCTCAGTTGAACCGGTCAACGAAGCCCAGAAGATGATAGGCTGGATGAAGGACAGAGGCTGTTGTTCCTGGTCGGAACCGGCACGTCGGCCAGCGACCTTTGAGGGCTTCTTTCCTGACACTCTCTTGGGACCGGATGTGGTCTTGGGCGCTTTCTCCTTCTCGGCGATAGTTTGGATGGCCGACTTTTCGACCTTGGTGACTTCTTCGTCATATCCAATCGCAATCTTTTCACTCTTCTCCGGAGAATGGCTTCGAGGGGACGGTGGGATCGAGGAGGCAGTGGCCGTTCTAGACTTGGGCTGGAGTGTACGATAGAAGCGAATGAAGGTAAACGCGGCGACGAGAGCGAGAAGAAGCGGCAGACGATAGAGATGCCAGAAGGCCAGCACGCCTGAAACAGGGCGAATAATCAGCACGAGAACGTGCGCGAGCACGAGTCGGTGTAGCGCTTACCTTCGTCTACAGAGAAATCTGTCATGATTGGAAGAACGAGACAGCCGAGCCCTTGGGTTCTACTCGCCTATTCTTCGTTTGCCTTTGAGGATCAAAGCAGATGGCCTTGCCTTGGTGACAAACGATGAAAAGAAAGAGCCGAGAAATGGCGGGTCGGATTAAGTGCAGTGGGCGGAAACACTATTTTAGGAGGGTTGATTGGACCCAGAGATACTCATCGCATGCCCAGTGGATTGCAGTTGTCACCACAATGCAGGGGAAAGAACTTTTGAAAGAGTATAATGACACAAACACTCTCGAAAATCAAATCAGATACATATCGCAGCATAAATCACAAAAGTGAAAATAAACCAGGCCTACAAGCTCCATGCAGTTTAAAGCGGCATCTCTGCGTTTCTCGAGGATTTTTTTTCGATAAGCGATGATTGGCTCCCGCATTTACCCTTCCTTATCGGGTAATCGCGGTGATTTGTCATCCATCTCCCTTTCGGCGCCGATAACGTCTAGAATAAATGGAGAGCAGTATGGCGACGATTCCTTTGGATCTGATGTGATGACACTGCCTTTCTTTTCTTCTAAAGGTTACATATGAGCTCTTGTTGCATTTAGACTGTACAGAAAAGTTCTATTGTTGGTCTCCACGGGTCACCGAGCGATTGTCTTTTCTTGGCTGTGCCGTGCTTGAAGATAAGCATGCAGGAACGCATTGTCTCTTCGTACTGAGTAACACCGCATCACCTCCTCATTTGTGACCTCCTACCTCAATTCCTCGCAGAATATCAAGTGGTAACGGAGACATCTGCTGTATAGCAATCATTTATAGCAGCTATTCCACCCTCCTACTCTTGAACAATGGACACCAAGCTTGATCCTGAATCGGGTGTGCATCTATCGGATGCCGCACATCATACACAGACCCGTTCTTTCTACGCACGCAACAAGAGTCGCTTGGCCCTGACTCTTATCGCTGCGTGCCTTCTGGCTGTCTTGAGCAACACTCGTACGATCGGTGCTCGGAAATGCAGTCTACCACTCTCCATCGAGCAGCGAGTGAAACGTATCTTGACAGAAACACCCCTCATAGGTAAGACTATACCCAACAACTCGTTTCTGGTAGATAATTGACATGTGCTCGTATAGACGGCCATGATGACCTTCCGATTTTCATCCGAGAAAGATTCCAGAATCACATCTACGACGACGAGTTCAAGACTCCATTTACCAAAGGCGACTTGGTAGGCCATGTAGATCTACCCAGACTAGCCAAAGGCAGGGTCGGTGGCACTTTCTGGAGCGTCTTCGTTCAGTGTCCCGCCAACTGGACCGATCTCTCCGACGCCAACTATGCGACTAGTAAGTTGTCGCCCGGTTTGATTCTACTTGTGGATGAAGGTAACTGACTGCGTCCGTCAGGCGTCCGCCAGACAATTGAGCAGGTAGACGTTATGCTGCGCCTACAGCAGTCTTACCCCGATACGTTCTCCGCGCCTCCGAATGGCACGACTGCTCTTCAAGCCTTCCGTGATGGGAAGATCATCTCCCCACTAGGGATGGAAGGGCTACATTCGATCGGCAACTCACTGGCCCTACTGCGAGACTTCCATGCGCGTGGTGTTGCGTATGCCACACTCACCCACAACTGCCACAACCGGTATGCCGATGCGGCCCTCGTTGAAATTCCTGGTGGTATCAAGAAAGCGGATCCTCTCTGGCACGGAGTTAGCGAAGCGGGCAAAACGCTCGTGCACGAGATGAACCGACTCGGCATGATTGTCGACTTGTCGCACGTGAGCACAGACACGATGCGTGATGTTTTAGGGGCCGGAAAGGATGACTGGACCGGCAGCCGCGCGCCAGTCATCTTCAGTCACAGCTCCGCATATGCCGTCTGTCCTCATCCAAGAAATGTCCCTGACGATATCTTGGAGCTGGTCAGAGCACGCAGGTCACTGGTTATGGTCAATTTCGCTCCGGATTTTGTTTCGTGCACTGCCTCGGAAGATCCCAAGGGGCTGCCCCATTTCGAGCCCGAGACTGCCACCCTGGCGCACGTTGTGGATCATATTGTGCATATCGGCGAACTGATTGGCTTCGATCACGTTGGCTTAGGAAGCGACTTTGACGGGATTCCCACTGTTCCCCGGGGTCTCGAGGATGTGTCCAAGTATCCGGACTTGATCGCGGAGTTGTTGAAGCGAGGTGTCAGTGATGAGGATGCAGGAAAGATAGCCGGAGGCAATTTGCTGCGAGTGTGGAAGGAAGTCGATGACGTTGCTCTCCAATTGCAGGCTGAGGGGGCACTTCCAGCTGAGGATGACTTTTCTCATGCCTGAAGCCAATTTGTCAAATTATTCGACGCTCATGTCTCTCCTCTCATTGGACCGGGAGCCATGCCATACCGGACAAATTTGGTAACATTCGACCTCCACTTGCTTAATTATAGCTGAAGTAGAAGCAGTTTTCATGACGTACCAGCAAGGCTTGTTTGACTCTGAAACGCTCATCTGGAACTGTGACAGTTTCTTTCGGCCTGAGGTGGAAGCACACCTGCCAACTTACCATAGATCATGCTGTCAGATTTGCGATACTACTTTCGCTCGAAAGTCTTAAATTGATTCAAAGCTCAACCAATAGTCGAAGGACCATGCACTCGCGTTAATCGGGTCCTGGATTGTTTGTACGCGTAAACCGATCAGAGGCTGATTAACCACTGTGCTATTGATTCAGGCAGGCTGGTGGAGACATCGATGCTATGCACAAGACACCTAGCATCACCACCTAGATTCTTGCTCACACTGTACAACTTTCAAGTTGGAAGGACGCGCGTCTTCCAGCATTGCGGGGTCAACAGTAGCCATGAACTGGGTTAATTATGACTACAGTCCGAAGGGAGAATGGCAGGTCCTACATCAAAATTGGACGATCAAGACGAGCATGGTGTATACATTTGTCCCACCTTCAGTCGGAATCGCAACTGAAGGCAGGCAGGCATGGGCCCCTCCTGCTGGTGATCGAGAGAGGCGGCAGAAGAGGCCAACCAGCCACATCCACCTGGGTTGTAGATCTCATAATGCCAATGACGCGCTGGTTATTGCGCATGTCAAAAGAGTCTGATCGGATATTGCCACCTGTTGACATACGTCTGTCTTCCGGCGGCACGCGCATGCTTTCCTGTATGGTTCAGTTCCATGAGCTTCTATTTTGAGCTGGTCTTATCGACCATTGTCAAAAGCTTGTCTCGCGCCATCGACATCATCATTCAAGAGGGGCTTTGCAGAGATAAGCCTCAATCGTCTTATCAGATTCATCATTTGGGTTTGGGTGCTGTTTTCCGACCAGACTACTTGGTTTCTGCGTCAGCAGACTAGGCTGTCGACTCGAATGGCCGTGCCTTAATCGATCGCGAAGGTGTTCCTGGCGGGCAACACAGATCTGCATGCTACTCAGTAGGAGATTCAGCACCATGATGTCATGAGACGCGCGCAAAGAAAGGTACGCTCTTGAAGCGAGCCTCTCATCTGTGTTTTCCGCCCACTCAGGGGACGATGGATGATTCATGGAGCAAAGGGTCGAAGATCAGGTGCCGGCCCAGCTCTCATCCCCAAGCACACAAAAACCTATTCTCCTCACCCGATTCATAGCAGCATACAACGTTTCATGAATCCGATCAACCTATCCTTCTGTTGATCAGCTCTTCCAGCAAAGCAAGGGATACCGCTCTTTTCGGGCGATGATGTGCAACAACCACTGGAGATGGCAGCATTCTTCATCTTCCATACCAGAGATATTCCACAAGAGGCAAGATAGACACCTGAAAACCTCGGCCCCTTCGTCGCATTGCGCAAGCGCTACACCTCCCTTGCAATTGGGAGGATCCCAAAAATCAGGAATCATGTCGTCTGAGGTCTGAACGTTTGGTTATGAAGCTTCCCTCCTGGGCGGCTTTCTCCAACTTTGGTAACGGGCACATTCCAGCCCTGTGGAGTAGGTTGTTCTGCGTGTTCGGTGCGGAGAATTTTGGATGCAGAATGTCGTCGGCGGTGTTTTTTCTTCTTTCCTTTGCTCTGGGAAGCAAGCTTTTGACAAGAGCTTTGGATGCTATTTAATTCTCCGCGCCGCTGTTTTTCTTTCCGGGAGTTTCATGATGTACTGTACATCGGACAGGGATTCCGTGATAGTTTGTGCTGTGTTTCGCCAGAATGGATTCAATGCAGGAGAAGGAGGTCAAGCATATTGGGGGCAGAGTGGATGATGCACAACATGAAGATACTGATCGCCAAAGCCAAGAGTCGACCGTGAAGCAAGATATGACCATTGAGCATGGACATCCAGCCCCCGATGGCGGATATGGCTGGGTGGTCGTGGCTTGTGTGTTCTGGCTGCAAGTCAATACGTGGGGTATCAATGGGGTAAGTCCATGGATAATGTCATGAGTCTTCTATGCTGCAGTCAGAAAACTAACCCTCGTTTTAGAGCTATGGGATCTTTCTGTCCCACTATATGACCAACAATGTATTTCCGGGGACCAGTGCCTTCGCCTACTCCATGGTGGGCGGCTTATCGATTGGCTGCGCATACCTGATGGCCCCATTTACCGTCTACTTGATCCGCACGCACGGCACTCATGCCACCCTGATTGGGGGCATCATCATCCAGAGCGGAGGCTTGATTGCGGCCTCCTTCGCCACAAAGATCTGGCAGCTCTTCCTAGCACAGGGTGTCTGTTTCGGCACCGGCATGGGCGTCATCTATATGACGTACCTGGGCATCCCGGCACAGTGGTTTGAGCGCAAACGCAGCATCGCAAACGCGATCCCCGCCGCCGGAGCGGGGACGGGCGGGATCATCTACTCGCTGGCGATCCAGTCGATGATCGAGAACATCGGGCTGGGGTGGACGTACCGCACGCTGGCGCTGGTGTCGCTCACGGCGAACCTGGTGAGCGCGGCGTTCCTGCGCGACCGCCACAAGGCGACGGCGAGCCGGCACACGGCGTTCCAGCTCCCCTTGCTCCGGCGGGCGGAGTTCGTGCTGCTGCTGGGGTGGGCGATCTTCAGCACGCTCGGGTTCGTCGCGGTCAACTTCAGCCTGCCGAACTTCGCCGTCTCGATCGGGCTGTCGTCGCACCAGAGCAGTGTGGTCGGCGCGCTGCATAACCTGGGCCAGGGGGTCGGGCGGCCGCTGATTGGGCTGCTGAGCGATCGCTGGGGCCGGCTGAACGTCGCGTCCGTGCTGTCATTGGTGTGCGCGGGTTTCTGCTTCGCGATCTGGATCCCCGCCCAGGATATGGCGGTCGTCTCGGCCTTCGCAACGATCGGGGGCATGGTGTCGGGTACCTTTTTCGCCACGGTGGCCCCCGTGATCGTCGAGGTGATTGGGCTGCAAGACCTGCCGGGCGCGCTGAGCATCCTCTGGCTCGTTCTGATCTCGCCCGGGGCGTTTGGCGAGGCGATCGCGCAGGCGCTGCGGCGGCCGGCATGGGGCACGGCGGCCTACCAGCCGGTGCAGGTCTTCTCGGGGATCCTCTACATCGCGGCGGCGCTGTGTTTGTGGTTTGTGCGAGGGTGGAAGGTCCAACAGAAGCTGCAAGAGGAAAGTGAACAGGCGAGTCGAGACAAAAATCTCACCGATGTGGTGGTATGTGCCAAAGAGGGAGAGGCAGAAGAAGTGGTGAGGAAGTCGGTGTGGAGGGATCCCGTTGGGCTGGGAAGGGAAATGGTGCGTTGGTATCGTGTGTGAGGTGAGAACAGGAAAGTGAAAATACAAAAAATGATGAATGAGAAAAAACAGAGACAAAGAAAGGAAAGGAGGGAGACGGGGAAACAGAAATGATACAAATTAGGGCACAAAGTGTTGTTTTGGTGGTGTTGGACCAAAAGATTGGGCATACTTGAGTGAGTGGAATAATATTAGTACAGACAAACCCATTTCGATAGATCAATTGAAAGGGGAAGGGAGGAATGGACATGGAATATAATATAGCTCAGTAAATATGGATGGCAATTTTCTTTTCTGTCACTGTCACTTGTCACACCTTAATTTAATTTTCCAAATCTTATTTTTTTTTTATTTCTTGAATTTCTGCTCTGAATTTTAAGACTGGTGCATTGGAAGAAGTGAGATCCATCAGATCGGCCTAAAATTAGCTGAATCCTTCGTTGATGTTAATGGGAAGAAAAGGGAAGGGTGAATCTTTCCTTGACCGCCAGATTGTGAAAAGCAACAACTGGTGGTTTCTTACTTTTTTGTGATGCACACCGAAAGAACTGAGACGAAGAGGAGGTGAGAGGGAAAAGTTTATCAACACTGGCAATGCCAGGTTGGTTCCTTGTGGTTTTGAATTTGTTTTTTACTTTCACATCTACATCTACACTACATTTACCTTTACTTTTACATTAGAGTCTTGAAAACTTATTTAATGTCTTTATCTTGCACCGGTACCGAAGTATAGCCAAAAACAACACTACCCGCAAGCTACTACTACTACTACTACTACTACTACTACTACTACTACTACTACTACTACTACTACTACTACTACTACTACTACTACTACTACTATTACTGCTACATCATCAATAACCACAACAATGCTCCCGCAACAACAACTGCCAATCCCATACATTGTGCCTCCCCATCTGGAGGAATACAACATTCCGCTGTCCGCGTTCGCGGCCGCCCGTCCTCAGTTCCACAACATCGTCGGCGGTGCGTTCATCTTCTCGACCACCGTGCCGGACGCCGTGACTTCGATTACTACATCTGCTTCTGCTCCTACAACTAGCTCAAAAAGAGCAGCGCAGGGGACGACAGCATTCATGACGACAGCATCCACACCTCCGCCTCCGCCTGTATCAGCATCCTCCTCCCCCTCCCCCTCCCCCTCATCACCCACCCCAGCAACAGCAGCAACAGCAGCAGCAACACAATCCCCACAGACCCCGACTTCCTCCTCCTCCTCATCCACTACATCATCCACAACCTCCACCCCCGCAACAACCCCCGGCACGACCCCGGCCGACCACCAGCCCCACCCCCCTCTCTCACCCGATGAGGTCCCCGAACCCGAGCCCAAAACCCTCCTCCTCCAACGCAGCATCACAGACTCCTACCCCGGCCACTGGGAGAACCCGGGCGGGCTGATCGACCCCGTCCGCGACGCCACCGTGCTGGCGGGCGTGGCGCGCGAGGTCCGCGAGGAGACGGGGTTCCACGTGTCGCGGTTCGTGGATCTGGTCTGCGTCGACGAGTGGACCAAGATGAAGCGCGGTGTGCTGCTGCAGGAGACCAAGGTGACGTTTCTGGTGGAGGTGCGGGAGGCCGTCGCGGCGGGCTGGGAGGCAACCGTGAAACTGGCGGAGGGGGAGCATCAGGCTTTTGTGTGGGTCGGGGAAGGAGAGGTGCGTGGGGTGGTGAGGGACAAGGGGAGGAAGAGGAAGGCGAGTGGCGGGGCTGGCAGGTTGGGGGTGGGGTTTATTAATGAGCAAGGGGGGAATGTGCTTAGAGGGTTTGAGTTGGTGAGGGGGTTGAGGGGGTGTTGAGTTTCTGGATACTGGGAATGGGAATGGGGTTGTGGTGATGGAATTTGATGGTGGACTTGATGGATTCGGGTGTATGGTAGATTGAAAAGTACTATTTGCGGGTGCATTTTTCGTTATAGATTGGTTGATGTATGGTATGGTATGTGCATTGTAGGTATTTGGGATCTGGTTATGGTACAGGTTTCATCATCATGGGAGTTCGTCTGAGATTCTATAGCTTGCTTTCCGGCACTGAGTTGGGGGCTTCTTGGGGTAGTAGACATCCTGAGAAAAATTGACCGATCTGGCGATAGTCGTCCAGGCTGAGCACTGTCGAAACATCTGGATCTATGTCAATGCCAGTTCTCATGAACGGTAAAGGTCAGGAAACTCACATTGATCAGGGCGGACGATGATGATTGCTCCCCGCTCAGGACTGATCCCCAGATGCTCATAAACATGTCCATGGCCCTTGTTGTAGCTTTCGTCGTCGAAGAATATCTTATGAACGTCTTTCCCGTTGTTAGCAAGTATATATCAAAGGAGTCAGGGGACTCACCTCTTGTCTGGTTCTTGCCGGTAACAGGGTAGAAGCATGAGGGAATCTCTTCCAGTTCAACACTGTGTCGCTGGCCGTATCCAACCAATATCGGCTCGATCAAGGTGTCTACGTCGCCTCCTATTAGACGGAAAGTCTGCAGGGGACTGTCGCTCGAGCTAAGATAACTTCCTAGCTGTATGGTGTGAATCTGATGTCCAGTTCGGTGAGGAGAAACATCACTTACAGCATCCAATCTGGTCTTGTTCTGGGCAATACTGAGATCACCGACAAAGGCAATGACCCTCCACCTGCCGTCAGACTTCAAAGTCGCAGCGAGTTGCAACGGCTTGGAATCGCAGAAGCGCACCACCTGTGCGCTGGGCAGCCTCATTCCCACGACGACATTCGTCGAAAGCTCCTTCGACACCCCGGTGTCGGAAGTGATAGGCGATTCGTCATACTTGGCCGTAAGACCAGCCGTATACTTCCCAGACTTGATGAACCCCTCCTGGAACTCCTGGGGCGATGCGTCCCCCTTGGATGAGAAGAGCTTCGCAAAGTATCGATCGAAGTTGATCAGATCAATCGCTACCTTCTGCCGCTCCAGCACGTACGTCTCCAGCAGAGACGGAGGGGCCAGCCCCTTCAGAACCGACGCCAACTTCCAGCCCATATTGTACCCATCCTGGAGACTGACATTCATTCCCTGCCCGGCTTTGGGAGAATGAGTATGGCAGGCATCTCCCGCAAGGAAGACGCGGTAATCCTTGTGGAAGCAGTCCGCATGACGCTGGCCGATCGCATAGGCCGACCACCACACCGTCTCGACGAACTCGATCCGATACTGACTCAAGATCTTCTTCGCTGCCTGCTGCAGATCCTCCAGCCTGACATCCTTGGCCTTGGTTCCCGCCGGAAGCTCGATGTAGAACCGCGTCAGGTTGTCGCTGTCCCCTTCTCTCGGGATAATCAACAAGTTACCTGCTTTCGAGCGAATCGTCGACTTCTTCCGAATATCGGGATAATCCGTGCGGGGAACCATATCCATCACGCCCCAAACAGCGTCCGTACTATCCCCGACCATGTTATAGCCCAACACCTTCCGCACGGTACTATGCGCACCATCGCATGCCTATGATTCATTTCAAAATCAGCCCCCATCCCACGCACCTCACCAATGTGTCCCCCCAAGAAAAAATACATACCATAACATACTTCGCCTCGAACCTCTCCACCCCGCTCCCGGCCTTCTCCGCCGTCACCGTCACCGGATACGCCTCGGGATCCTTGGCCTTGGTACTATCCACCTCCACCCCTTGCACGGTATATCCGTAATCGATCTCCTGGCCGTTGAACCGCCGCATCGCCTCGATCAACAACAGGTTGATCCGCGCCTGGTTCAGGATGACGTGCGGCTGATGCGACAGGCCCGGCTGCGTGTCCGCCGTCCTGCCCGTGCGGCGAATCCGCCCGGACCCATCCTCGTCCGCCCAGAACACCACCTCCAGCACGTGGTACGATTCGCGCAGCAGCTCGTCGCCCATCCCGAAGCTCTCGAAGATCTCCACCGTCCGGCACTGCACCCCGTCCGCCTGGCCCATGGTCATCAGGCCCTCGCGCCGCTCCAGCACCTTGCACCGCAGCCCGTAGCGCGCTAGCCAGGTCGCTGCGCACAGGCCGGCGGAGCCGCTGCCACAGATGAGGACGTCGACTTGTTGGGTCATTTTGTGATTGGGGAATGTGTCAGAGTATTAGTTAGTGTGGTGGGAGGAGGAGGAGAGAGGGGGGTTCATGGTTGAGCGAGCCCATTGTTCGTGTTGATATATGCCTCGTGACCGGAATGCGTCCCGATGAGAGTAGATAGTGCTTGAGAGTGGGTGGTGTCGGAGTGTGAAGAAGGTGCAGTGCAGTGCCAGGTGCTGTACCCCGGAATCCGTTCCGGGGCTCGGTTGAGGAGCCGGGGCCCTCGGTCGCGCTGTGCTCCAATCAGGTGGACCCCGCTGTCGCCTCCGCAATTTTGCGGGTTCCGGACTCTTCTCGATAAATTGCAGAAAGATCTATGATGAGGAAGGGAAAGTGTCAGTGCTACGGTCTGTGCACTCTTAGGAATAATGACGCGATATGTCATCGCCCATGCCATGGTCTATGGACGAATCTGTATAGTCGCCAACGATTATCCAATTCATCCCTCCCCAAAGACTATCAAGTATCCTAGAAACAAAAAAGCTTTATAGAATTGGTAAGAATGACTTCATTAGGATCCTCGGTCGTTATGTATGCAGTCCATCACTTCGCCCATACCCGAATTGAGCGTGAGCACCATCCTGTATTCACTCCCCAACGCCAGCGCCGGTGCGGTTAAAACCCTGGAGATATCCACGGAGATCGAGCAAGCCCCATAAAACAAATAGCAACGTCATAAGTTTACAGAAAGTATTCGCTGCGGCCCGGCCGCGATGTCGGAACATGTCGTTGATCGTCGCTCACTGCACTGAAGAGCTTGAACGTCGGCTTGAGGTCGTCGTTGATCTCGCAAACCGAGGCGAGGTTGCCGCAGCGGTAGCAGTAGTTGGGCGCACTCCATACCGTGACCACGTTCTGGTTGGTGAAGTGGTACTTGTAGCCCTCGTTCACCAACTGGTGCGCTCGCGCTATCAAGGTCAGGTCGTTGACGTGGCAGAATTCGTCGGCAACTTTGTCGCCGAAGAGCCAGCCTAGTCCGACGGTCAGCACGGTGTTTGGTAAGGTTAGAGCAGAGGGCGCTTGCTTACCGGCTCCTCGTGGACTGACAGCCCAAGTTTCAACGTCATCCGGGTCCGACCACACCAGGTCACAAAAGGCACCCTCGTGGGGGATCTCTTGCGCTCGGGCGACAACACGAACTTGATCAAGCGTCCGGATCTCCGGACTCAGTCCTCCGTGTACACACAGCACCCTGCCGTCAATGATAGCGCCTAGCGTCATGAAGTCGAAGACTTGGCAGCAAGCCTTCCACACAGAGGCGTTGCCATACTTTTGGAAGCATTCCTCGTAGAAGCCGTATACTTGGGTGATCTGGCGGGACTCGTGATTACCACGCACCAGCGTAACTCGGTCGGGGTATCTAAACAGGGGGAAAGCTGTTAGAATCTGAAAGACCGTCGATACTGACAGACACATGACACTCACTTAGCCTTGAGGCAGAGTAGGAGCGTCAGGGTCTCCAAGCTGAAATAACCCCGGTCGACGTAGTCGCCGAGGAAAACGAAATTGCGGTTCAGAGTCACTTCATTCGACCCTGCGCTCGAAGATCGACCCCGTTGATTGCTGACCGAGGCTGTGTCGTCGCCGCCTTCCCCGCCTCCTGAATTTCTGAGCTTCTTCCGTAGCTTGGGATCACTGATGGTGGATGGGGGCTCAATATCTTCGGATGTGATGACTGAGGGAGATGTCTTGGGCGGTTCGACTTCGGATTCATTAGGCATTCCGCCGGAGACCCTGAATAGTTCGAGCAGATCATAGAATTGGCCGTGGATATCTCCACAGATTGTGACCGGGGTTGAGACGGGCTGGATGTTCGATTCTAGGCACGGGCAGTTGCGTCAATCTCTGCCTCCAGGAACGCGGCCGATCTCGGACGAAGGCCTACCTTCCATCATGAACTCCTTCACAATCTCGCAAAGTTGTTTCATGTGTGCCTCGGAGAGGTACTTGCAGTCCTTAGCTGCTTCAAGCCACTCGTCGGGGCCTGCATTGCGCTTCAACTTGGCCGGTCCCGGCTGAGGGACCTTACTGTCAACCATGATGCTGCTAAGCCACGCTGCGGGATAGAGGGTCGCGATAGAGATAGGGCACTAGGTGAGAGGAGGAAGACAAAAGGATAAATGAGAGGCAGCTGTGAGGAAGTATAATGAGCGAACAACGAGGAGGTCTAAAGGAAAGTGGCTCGCATACACCGGGACACACCAAGTATGCTGAGCTGGATGCGCATTAGCGGGTTCTTCCCCGCAGGGTGAATAAGATGTGATTGATGTTGGGCATGGCCGCCGGTCACGTGCACTCGCTGTCGGGATCTCGCCATCCGATGGTTATCAGCTTAACATTTCCACACGACAACAACACCGCTCATTTCTGGAGCTGAAACTCAAGGGTGTGGTGATTCCGAGACTCCACATCCCTCAACATATCACCGGCATACGCATTGTATCCTCAATTAATACACCTTGTCCCACACAAGAACTACTCTTTCGGTCGCACTCTTGGCCAGGGCGGGGGTCGCTCAGACCGAAAGAGCCTGTATATCCACCATGACGCAGACCCCGAACGGCAAGTCTGCAGGAGGCGTCCTGCAAATCCCGGTGGCTGCGACTCAAAAGAATGCTTCTGCGACAACTAAAAAAGCTCCCAAGCCTCCAGCGCCGCGACTGAAGCTCATCATCAGACGGCTTCCGCCAGGGTTGACCAAAGCCGAATTCGAGACTGCTCTCGGCCCCGAATGGAA